ATATGCGTGCATCCAGGACTCTAAGACACCACTGCATTTAAGACACACTGACAACAGTTATGTACACCAATTTAAGATGCATCTTGACTTCAGAAAAAAGAACGTGTTTCAAAATGTACACTTGTACATTTTGAATCAAGAAAATACAGTAGTTACCAAAGATTATCTATAAACAGTGCTACTTTATTCTCATGTGGGAAACAAATTTAGATGAGCCCATACAATAGTTCATGCTGAACCACGCTGGAATTAACCACTCTGTGTTTTGTTTTTTTTTTCCAAAAATTATTTATTTTAATCACTGGAATTAACCACTCTGTGTTTTTTTTTTTTTTTTTTTCCAAAAATTATTTATTTTAATCTTACTTATTTTTTCTAATTTGCTATAAGGAACAGGCGCTCACCAGAGAGAGACGCAGGTGGGGGCATTGGTGTTCGGGGAAGTGAGAAAGCAAGCCACCGGGTCCAGGATTCAAACCGTGGTTGGCTATGTAGGAAACCTGTGCCTTAACCATCACGCTACCTGCTGGCCTCAGAATCAACCTTTCAACCTAAAAGAAATGAAGAATCTGAAACCAAATGCTATTCGAAGAATGGCATTACCTTGAGCACCCGACAAACACAACGTCTACACTAACCCAAGTTAATTTGAAATAAATGTGATTTCAGCTTCACGTTTACGGATGTAGCAACATAGGAAAGCAGAGTTAATTCAATGATGATCTCGAGATGAACGTTCTATCAAACTGACCAGTTAATTAAATCACAATCATCTCAATTTGTCACTGCAAACGTACTACAGCTACATACTTGCAAACACAACAGTGATACAAACACTGTAAGAGAACAGGCCTTGAGAGAGGCATGCCACTTCATTCAGAGACAAATTCTTGCAGAAATGCATCAAAGATGGTAACTATCATCTTTCTCCAAACTCTAAACAAACAGAAATTATGTTTATACTGTTTGCTAACCGAATCAAATGTTTCTGGTATCAGACATCGCCATTCTGTAATACTTCCAAAATGAAGTTCTTTTCCCCCCAGGAAACAGGTTTCAACACCGAACCAGCAGTCCTGCTAATCCAGCACATTTCGTATACTAATCCAGCGCTCAGGTGCCATGCACTTTTTTGGAGCAGTATAGAATTACAGAGCTGAGCATTTCTAGTTTAATAGCATTACGTTCTCCAAGGTTAACATCTCCTCTTCTCCCAAAGTTTGTACCAAATGGACTTAAAGAACATCATTTTAGACTGGCATGGAATCTGTAATTGACCACCTCAGCTTAGGAAAGCCTACTATGTGCCAAAGAAATGCTTTCATATATTTAATCCTCACAACAGTTCTGCAAAAAGGGTACTGTTACTATTTTCATTTTACAAAGGAGGAAACGGAGGCTTAGCAGAGACATTAAATTAAATGAATCTGCCAACAGATGGACTCTTGTTCAGGAAGAAACTGAAAAGATCTTTCTTACTTTCGCCAATGTAATAATACCATTTTCTTTCTTTTTTAAGTTTTTGCTTTAGGATGCATGATTTTGCCAGAGAGAGAGAAAGAAAAGAGAGAGAGAGAGAGAGAAATCACCTTCTAGGTAGATGGGCACACTGCAATCCCTTCTCTTTCATTCTTCTACTGGGATCTGGGACATACATGGACAGTCAGCATGATTTTCAAGCCACCAGGTCTGGGACGCAAACCACAGAACTGGCTGTGTGGGATCCAGCGCCTTAACCTCCATGCCACCTGTTGGCCCACTCAGCGTCTCGTGGGACTCCAATCCCTTTATGCACCATGTCACCTGCCAGCCTCCTCCCATTTGTTTTGTAGAGATTTTTGCCTCTGGGCACATGCACTTGCCAGAGAGAGAGACAGAGAGTGAAAGATAAAGTGAGAAATTACCCCCTCCCCCGTGTAGACGGCCATGCCACAATCCCTTTGCCTCCATTCCCTTCCCAGGATCTTGGGCACACATGCACAGGCACCTGGCATGAATTTTAAGCCACCAGGTCCAGGACTCAAACCACAACTGACTACGTGGGAGTACAGCAACGTAACCATTATGCCATCTGCTGGTCCAAAAATTTATCTTGGTGAAAAATAAAACTAACATCCAAGTGTAGCATTGTTAATGACACACAGTCTCCATGAACTTCTTAAAGACCTCTCATATCGTTTATACTTTTTAAAAATTACCATCGTCAGAGGGCATGCACGTGAGCCAGAGCGAGGCAGAGCAAGGGAGAAAGGACTCCCCGTGGGGTCTGGTGATACCACAAGCCCTTCGGTTCTCCACCCTGCTGGGGTCTGGGCATGCACATGCACCCAGCATGTTTGCAAACCGTGGCTGGAGGTAGAAACGAGCTCTCTTAACCACTGCACTACGCAACTGGCCCTGATCTGAACTTTCTATACACAACGCAGTGAAATGAAGTAAAAAATGTCTCTTGTACTTGAGAAACACATCCGCGCGTTCAACAGTACACCCTCTTTCATACACAGAACTTGGTCTCTGACAGAACACTACAATCTCGAGATATTTTGTAGTGGTGTTTCAAGCTGGGAGAAAAGGCCAGGGCTCCCTCCAGGCAGGCCGAAGTTCTAACCAGCAGTCACAGGAGCAGAGCACAGACCTGGCAGGACCCTCCTACAAAGCCAGCCCACCAGGCCAGCCTTCCTTTTTCTGATAAAATGAAGCAGCTCTGGGAAATCCCTCACTAGCAGGAGCTGAGGGACGGGTGAGAGTCTGCTCACGTAATGGAGCTTCAATCTATACTTGGGTAAGAGACTCACGCACGCAGCCCAGCCTACCTTGTCCCTACCTAAACGGTGTCTTTTCTCCACCTCCTCCCTGTCTTATCCGTCCTAACCACCCCCCTCTTCCTGCAGCAGGTCGTCCTGCATGATGGCCAAGCAGCAGAGGGATGGGCCGGCTGGGTCTCCCTGGACTTGTAAGATAGTAAAAACGAACTGAAGCTTCGCCCCACCCTGGCATGTGCTAGGGTAGCAGATTAAAGGTTTAAAGTTCGGGGCTCGCTGACAGTCCCATGTCTTTGACGAGGTCAGGGGTAACTGCAAACACTAGTTCCCTTTGAATGGTTTGAAGACCACTCACCATCACACCAACATCCATCGCCAGGAGACCTGGAAGGCTTCTTCCCAACCCCGTGGCTTGACTAAAGCCACAGAGAACCGAGTGTGAGCAGACCATACGGTTTTTGATCTTTGGGAAAGCAGTGCCCCCAATCCACACAATTTAATAACACACAGATAATGCTATCATTCAATACTCAGGCATTTCATTATGCCTGAAAATTACAGGCTGCTTTTATTTACACTTCCTGTTTGATTTAAAAAAAAAAGGCAAGAACATAAAATCACAGGAAAAAGACTCTGCTAAGTTTAATTTACCTTTCAAATTATTTTCCAGGAGAAAGCCCATAATATGAAAATATCAAAGCAGATTCGTTCTAAGTCAACGCCATGTCAATCATCATAAGACATTAACGTGGTAACAGAATCGAATGCCTGTTTTTCCATATTTACCTATTCTCGAGGGAAAGA